TTGCCTGCGAGGTCTAGGATAGTTTTTATATATTTGATGTTTTTTATAGATTTTTATTCATTTTATTTTTATTCTTTCTATTCTATTTTTATTTTTACTATTTTAATTTTTTTCCAATTATTTTATTTTATTTCACATTAAATTTTGGTATGTGGATCAAAGTATCCGCTCATCAAAAGTTCCGAAATCACAGAAAAGAGCGATCATCACACTGTTATTGTAAAAAGCTGATTTATCGCCAGTTTTGGTCAGTAGCTACCGGCCAATATCAAATATCAGCTTCATCCCAAAAATAATCAAACAACTATTGAACTACTGTCACGAAAATTTGTTGGTGCCTAAGTTGCAATCGGGATTTCGGAAACTTCACTCTCAACGTTTTGAAAACACGAGACATCTGGCTAGGTACTCCGCAAAGATTAAGTTTACTGAACAGTTTCACGTCACCGATGAACGATCTTGGTGTGATATTGGATTCGCGTCTGTCATTGCAAAATCATGTAAAAAATATCTGTCGGAATTGTTTCTATAAAATTCATAGAATCAGAACTATCAGACGTCTTCTTACTCTGGAGTCAGCGAGAACACTTGTTCACAGTTTCGTCTGCAGAAGAGTTGACTTCTCCAACTTGATAATGTATGGAGCCAATTTATTTCTACAGGACTGTCTTCAATCAATACGAAACAACGCTGCAGCAAGAATAATAGCCGGCGTTTCAAAGTCTCACTCCATTTCGGTTTACATGCGTGATGAGCTTCATTGATTGAAATATCCCCTAAGGATTAGGTTCAAAATCGCTCTCTTGGTCAGAGAGAGACTGTTTGACCGGTGATGCACCGGTTTATTTGAGTGAGCAATTGATGTCGGTTTCAAAGAGGTGCATGGCCGTAGTCAACTTAGGTCGTCAGACCGTGGGGATTTGGTCATTCCGTCAATCCGTTCCTCAAATTCTGGACGACAAAGATTTTCTGGGGTGGCGGCTGGAATATGGAACTCGCATTATTTATTTTCTTCACCATTTTATTAATAAATCACACTTGAAAACTGTTATCGTTATTGTTTTTGTTTTAATACAAATGACAAAAAAATTAATATTATTTATATTATTATTATTTATATTATTATTATGATTTACATTATTATTGTTTACATTATTATTATTATTTATCTTATTATTATTTTTACTATTATTATTATTATTTATCTTATTATTATTATTATTATTATTATTGTTTTTCATCCTGGCCATCAGCAAAAACTGAAAAAAATAAAATAAAAAGCTAACGAAGTAAAATTACTGCCAACTAGTAAGTATGCTTAATAAGATTTAGCTGCTATATATACTAACCTATACTACATTACTCTAAATATATATATATATATAAGTGTATATATATAAGTATATATATATATATTATACTTATATATATATATATATATATATGTATATATATGTATATATATATGTATGTATGTATGTAAGAAAAGTTATATCACAATGCGAATTTCAAATGGTTAGTACGAATACTATTACTAATAAATAAATAAATACAAATATTAGCACTGACAATATTAATAATAATATAATATATATAAATAATAATAATAATTATAACAGCAATTACGATAAGAAGAATAATAAAAAAAAGCCATTAATAACAATTGTAATTACAGTTATGAATTGGAGTAAACACAATAAGCACAAGTGAAAAGTTCTTAGACTAGTATTAAATACTATATATATATATATATATATATATATATATATATATATATATATATATATATATTTATATACTTATTTATAGATTTAAGTCACAAATTAATACACAAATTAATACAAAAAGAAAAATTATTAATATTATTATTTCAGTTATTATTTATAATAATATTATTGTTACGAGTAGTTGTAGTGGTAGCAGCAGAGCAGCAGCAGCAGCAGTAGTAGTAGTAGTAGAAGTAGTAGTAGTAGTAGTAGTAGTAGTAGTAGTGGTAGTAGTAGTAGTAGTAGTAGGTAGTAGTTGTAGTAGCAGTAAAAGTTTTATTAATTTTAATGTAACTGTTGACGCTGCTGTAATAACTTATTAGTGCTATTATTATAATTATAAATGTTATTGTTATTATTGTTATTATTATTATTGTTATTGTTATTGTTATTATTGTTGTTGTTGTTATTGTTATCCTCGTACGAGTTTTACGAGAGGGCAAAGAAGTAAAATGCGACAATTTTGAAATAATTACGTACTCGTTAACGATGATGAAGAGGATGACGATGACGACGATGGTGGTCATTCTAACGATGATAATGATGCTACTGGTGATGATGAGGTGATGATGATGATGACGATGTATAATGATGATGACGATGATGATGACGATGGTGTATAATGATGATGACGATGATGATGACGATGGTGTATAATGATGATGACGATGATGGTGGTCATTCTAACGATGATAATGATGCTACTGGTGATGATGAGATGATGACGACGATGATGACGATGATGGTGACGATGATGATGTATAATGATGATGACGAGGATGATGATGATGATGGTGAATTCAAGACGATTGTTTCGAATTTAAGATTTAATTGCTTATCAAAAAATTGCTTGACGTTTGTGTTTGCTCTTTTCTTTTGCGTAAGTAAATCAAAGAAGATGAGTGAAAAATGATAATTGCGGTGATGATGATGATGATGATGATGATATCGATTATGATATCATTACTTTTGTCGTGGCCAAAGCAACGACAAAAGTAATGATTATTGATGATGAGAATATGATGACGAAGATACGAATTATGACGAAGTTGCCTTCGTGGTGATCCTGATAATGATATCAAGGAGGATGGTGGTGATGATGATGATGACGACGACGGCGATGCTGATGATGATTGTTATTAAGCTTTTGAATATTAATGAGCCCGGGGAGTTGTAAAGGGAAAAAAGTAAATAATTTAATCTTTAACACACACGCGCGCGCCGACCATCCTAAAGATGATGATGATGAAGAAGAAGAAAAAGAAGAAGGAGAAGATGATGATGATGAAGATGCTGATGAAGATGATGATGACGACGACGATGACGATGATGTTGACTCAAGATTCTGACTACTGGTGATAATAAAATGTTGTTGTTGTTGATGTAATAAATTATTGTTCTTTGTTTTCGTTGTTTATACAACGTTTGTTTCGTTGTTTTTGTCGTTGTTTCATTGGTTGTAGCATCAAAAATTATTGTTATTTGTTTTTGTTGTTTCGTCATTCGAATAGGCTCTTCTTTCTGGATTCAGCTCTTTACACCAATGTCTTGATGATGATGTTGTTGCTGTTGTTGTTGTGATGTTAATTTTGTTGTTGTTGTTGAGGTGTGTTGCGGTAGGTTTATTATTGTTGGTGGCTAGCGCCATGATGTCATTGCTGTTGTTGTTAATGTTTTTGTTGATGTTTTTGTTGTTGATGTTGTTGTTGTTGATGTTTTTGTTGTTGTTGTTGTTGTCTCGTTTAAGCACATCTTTTCTATCGTTTGATTTATACGTAGGGAAAGAATGTTGTAAATTTCGTTGCAAAAGAGCTGATGTTGCAGATGTTGTTGTTGTTGATGTTGCAGTTGTTGATGTCGTTGTTGATGTTGTCTGCGATGCTTTTAATGTTGCGGCCTTTTTGTGTCTTTCGCAAAGGTATGGTTGTTGTATGTTGATGTTACATGTTTCTGCTGTTGTTGTTGTTGGGCTGAAAAATGCTTGCTTATGTTGTTGTTGCATCAGTAGTTGTTGTTGCAGTTGATGTAGGAATGGTTGTTGTTGTTGTTGTGGCTGCTGATTTATAGATACTTGTTGTTGTTTAAGCAACTGTTGTTTGGGAATTTCGTTCGGCGAGGAGGTATAAAAATTTGTTTGCGATAAAATGGTTGTTGTTGATGTTGTTGTTGACGTTGGTATTGTTGTTGTTGTTGTTGTTGTTTTTAGTGATGATAGTGATAATGGTGTTGGCAGCATTGTTATTGATGCTGTTGCTGCTGCTGATGGTTTGTATCTTGAAAGTGTTGTAGTTTGCAAAGTCGACGATGATGATAGTGATGACGATGTTGTTGTTGTTGATGATGGTGATGTCGTTGCTCTTGATTTAAACGACTCGTTTTGAGGTAGTGTGTGATAATAATTGTTTCGCAACATTCTCGATGTGGAAAATTTTGTTGATGTTGTTGGAGCAACAAGAGCAAAGCAAGTTGTGTTAATTGGTAGTTTGTTTTGCTGTTGTTGTAGATGTGTATGTAGTTGTTGTTGCGGATGTTGGTGTTGTTGTGGTTGTTGCTGTCGTTGTTGTTGTTGCGGATGTTGCTGTTGTTGTTGCGAAACGAACGTATTTCTGTTGCGTAGGTCTGCATATTTGTCATATGCCACCACATCGTACGTCTTTCTAATTGGAATGTTGCAACTCATTTTTAAGAGATTTTCAAACTTTTCGAGCTTTTTGTTGATGTTGTTGTTGTTGTTGCTGCTGCTACAGTTGTTGCTGCTGCTGTTGTTGTTGCTGCTGTTGTTGTTGTTGGTTGTAGTAGGGATAGTGGGATTTAAAGAGAATTTATAACCGTTAGTTGGTGTGGTTGAAGTCGCAGCTAGGCGAGGTCTCTTATCATTTGATGATGTTGCTGAGACAAGTTGCGGTTGTTGTTGTTGTTGTTGCTGGGGTAGTTTTTGTTGCATAGTTGGTTGATAAAATTGCTGTTGTTGTTGTGTTTGTTGTTGCTGTTGTTGCGGTGGCTGATGTTGATGTTGAGACATTTGAAAGGATGCTTGTTTTTGTTGTTTTTGTTGGACCATCAGCCTAAAGTTTGAAGTTATTGTTCTTGTTGTAGTTGTCGCTCCTGTGGCCAAAATTGTTGCGGCAGTAGTTGTATTTGCATCAGCCAACGCCAACATTAATTTCGTCTTCGAAAATTTCTGCGTCTTAGTTGTTGAATCTTTTTTGCTGACGTTGTTGGTGTTGTAGCTAT